GTGTGTGAGAGAGAGAGAGAGAGCAACAGGCGAACAGTGACAATAAAAGCAGAAAAGCTGTAATTAGCACAGACCAAACAAATAGAGGTAATCTATGCATGGTCATTCCTGGGCCACGCATGGCTTTTTTTGTTTCCACTACAATAGCTTTAAGCACATTCAGAACAGACACAGGCAGAGAGAGGAAGAAGAGAGGAGAGTGGTGTGGAGGGGGGAAAGAGAGGGAGAGGAAGAAGAGAGGAGAGAGGAGAGCGGAGAGTGGTGTGGAGAAGGGAGAAGAAAAAAAGGGAGCAGAACAGAGGGGAGAATAGAAGGAGACTGAGGAGATAGGGAGGAGAGAAGATGAGGGATGGAGAAGGAAGGAGACGAAAATTCGAGTATAGGAAAAAGAAGAGAGAGAAGAAGACAAAGAGAGGTCAAAGGAAAAAAGAGGGTGGAGGAGAGGGATAAAAGAGAAATAGAAGGGTGGAAAGAAGATCAGGAAGAGAACAAAGGCATAATGCACGAGGAGAGGGAGAAGAAAGGTGAATGTGTTTCCTTACCAGCTTTGGAGGAGGAGGCTTCGGTGTACTGTTGTTGCATACGATCAGGGAAAAAGAAAAAAGAAAAAAAAACGAAAACATGAGATCAGATACAGAATAGACACTGCACAGAAAAAATGCAGCGAAGGGATAAAATATTTCTTATGTATGTTAGACCTGCCGATGAATCCATCCGTCTTCTGATGGTGTCATCGACACTCTCTTTTGACGAATATATCAGCGTGGAACTCAGGCGGGCAACGAACAGGGTGTGGCCACAAAAGAGGAGGGGGGGGGGGRGGGGGAAGGGGGAAAGACAAATGTGGGGGGCAAACAGTTATTGGCGGTGGCCTTGGAGGAGGCGCAAAGAGGAGGAAGGGAAACAAAAAGAAGAAAAAAAAAGGAGTTTCTGATCTTAATCAGTGTCTTTTTTTTCTCTGGAACTTGCTCAAAAACATTTTGCGCCGATTTTTTTTTTGTGGTGCGTCATTGCGAATGCTGCCTGTGCCAAGTCTTTCTGAAAACTGCGATTTTTTCTTTATAACAAACGTTTTTAGGGCTTTAAATTTTTTGTTAGTATCATAGTATCATACGATGCTGAACGTACGGTTCAATGGCTGTGATTGATGTGTGGGCACACCGGGTAACGAAGCTTCGCGCCGCAGTGGGGTGAAAGTACTCATCTTGGGGCTTTGCTTTTGCCCCAGCCCACTTTGCTTATTGGTTAGGTGTCCGGCTGGTATGCAGAAGGTTGCGTGTTTAATTCTTGGATTCCGCAGGCACTGTACCCTCACGCATGTGCCAACCCTATGGTGCTAGCTGCTCAGTGCCTGCCGAATCCAAGAATTGGCACATACGTGGGGCTCCGTCGACATATTCTCGCTGACCATGTGTGTGTGGTGTACAGCGATCCCAAGAAAAATGCGGTGCAAAAAACTGGTTTCTTTCGGCTGGGCAGAGAGAGTCGTGACCAACGGCCAGAGAAAGACGCGAAGCTGTTTCTTCAACGGCCAGAGAGAATATGTCAACGTTTCATTGAATGCCCTCAGTTTCCAAAAAAGATGCAAAGTTGTTTCTTCTGCATCCTCGTAGGGTGCTTTTTTTTTTTTTTTTTTGCTTGGTGGCAGTTGGTGGCTTTTTTCTTGTTTTGTCAGTACTGCTTCGTTCCTTTGATACCAATGGCCCTGATTGCAGAAAGGTGTTGGGAGATTTCCCGGTCACCAAGGAGCGAAGGCGCTACCCGCAAGGAAAATGAGCAATAGCAAAATGACAGAATTCCAGATTGCAAAATCACAAGCACCCTATGAGGACGCAGCACTTCATGTGGGAGATTGAATGCCCGGACGAACTCATCACCATGCGGAAGGGACAACTAAGAAGCTGCTTGGATGACCTAACTCATCATCACAGCACAGTGCACA